TAGCATCCCGGCTCTCGGGCAAGTTTCTTCCTGTGAAACCTTCGCCCCCCTTTGATTGTTTCGCCCCCGAGGGCCGGGGGCCAAAAACACCCCCCGCCGTAGCATCCCGGCTCTCAGGCAAGTTTCTTCTTGTGAAACCTTCGCCCCCCTTTGATTGTTTGTCTCGCCCCTGGGGGCCGGGGGCCAAAAACACCCCCCGCCATAGCATCCCGACACTCGGGCAAGTTTCTTTTTGTGAAACCTTCGCCGTCCTTTGATTGTTTGTCTCGCCCCCGAGGGCCGGGGGCCAAAAACACCCCCGGCCCGCCATAGCATCCCGGCACCCGGGCAAGTTTCTTCTTGTGAAACCTTCGCCCCCCTTTGATTGTTTCTTTCGCCCCCGAGGGCCGGGGGCCAAAAACACCCCCGCCATAGCATCCCGACACTCGGGCAAGTTTCTTTTTGTGAAACCTTCGCCCCCCTTTGATTGTTTGTCTCGCCCCCGAGGGCCGGGGGCCAAAAACACCCCCGGCCCGCCATAGCATCCCGGCACCCGGGGAAGTTTTTTCTTGTGAAACCTTCGCCCCCCTTTGATTGTTTCTCTCGCCCTCGAGGGCCGGGGGCCAAAAACATCCCCGCCGTAGCGTCCCGGCTCTCGGGCGCGTTTCTTCCTGTGAGACCTTCGCCCCCTTTTGCTTGCTTCTGTCGCCCTCGAGGGCCGGGGGCCAAAAACACCCCCGCCCTAGCATCCCGGCTCTCGGGCAAGTTTCTTCCTGTGAAACCTTCGCCCCCCTTTGATTGCTTCTGTCGCCCTCGAGGGCCGGGGGCCAAAAACACCCCCGCCATAGCATCCCGGCACTCGGGCAAGTTTCTTCTTGGGAAACCTTCGCCCCCCTTTGATTGTTTCTTTCGCCCCCGAGGGCCGGGGGCCAAAAACACCCCCGCCGTAGCAAGCATCCCGGCACCCGGGCAAGTTTCTTCCTGTGAAGCCTTCGCCCCCCTTTGGTTGTTTCTTTCGCCCTCGAGGGCCGGGGGCCAAAAACACCCCCGCCGTAGCATCCCGGCACCCGGGAACGTTTCTTCTTGTGAAACCTTCGCCCCCCTTTGATTGCTTCACTCTCTCGCCCTCGAGGGCCGGGGGCCAAAAACATCCCCACCATAGCATCCCGGCTCTCGGGCGCGTTTCTTCCTGTGAGACCTTCGCCCCCCTTTGATTGCTTCTTTCGCCCTCGAGGGCCGGGGGCCAAAAACACCCCCGCCCTAGCATCCCGGCACCCGGGCAGGTGTCTTCTTGTGAAACCTTCGCCCCCCTTTGATTGCTTCTTTCGCCCCCGAGGGTCGGGGGCCAAAAACACCCCCGCCGTAGCATCCCGGCACTCGGGCAAGTTTCTTCTTGTGAAACCTTCGCCCCCCTTTGGTTGTTTCTTTCGCCCCCGAGGGCCGGGGGCCAAAAACACCCCCGCCGTAGCATCCCGGCACTCGGGCAAGGTTCTTCCTGTGAAACCTTCGCCCCCCTTTGTTTCCGGAGGGCCGGGGGCCATCTATCAGACACCGCACTGACCGCAAACGCTTCCCGGAATCGGTCGCCACAAAGAAAAGGAAGTGGCGCAAACACGACTAAAAAGCCGGGCCGGAAACGCTTCCCGGAATCGCTTGCCGCAAAGGAAGAAAGCTGGCGCACGCATGCACACACGACCAAAAGGCCGGGCCAGGAACACTTCCTGGAATCGCCTGCCACAGAGAGAGTGGGCCTACCGGCCCGAAGCCCTCCCGGAAACCTTTGCCACAGAGGGCAGAATGGTGGAGCAATTCGGAATTGCTCCACCATTCTGCCCTCGAATCCAGCAGGGTCTTTGAGCGGAATTGCCAATTCCGCTCAAAGACCCTGCTGGATTCGCGGGTCTTGATCTTACCACGGCGCGCACCGAGGGCGCCCAGAACAACAGGCAGTAGCACTGCCACCAAGCACCGCACCCACCCACCAGCCCCCGTGCTGTTGCGCGCTCTCTCACGACAGTGCATCCGGGGCCTGGGTCGGTGCGGCCGAACTTATGGGCGCCTGGAAAAAAAATAAACTTCGCGCTGCTTACGCATGGGCGCCTACTTACATCATGCTGCAAGACTCAGCCACACAGCGGCAAAGCCTACGAATAATTTTTTCAAATGGCCAGACCTAGTATATTAACATATTACTGCAGTCGCAGTGGATAATGGAGTAGCCCTTTTCGTTCTCGACGGCATCGACCGGAAAATCATTGCAGCGTCGCAGCAGCCCGATAAGTAGTTGAACAGTCGCCAGCCCGCGACTTTCCTCGAACAGCAACTATCAAATGTAAAAGTGTCTGGGTCTAGAAGAGTGCAGCCTGTGATGCTGCGTTTGGAATCCAAAAAAATCTGTATTGCATGAGTACCAAAGGGAATGCAATTTTTGCTGCGCTGAGAAGGCATCTGTCATGCGGAATAGGCATCAAGAAGCCCTCAGAAAATCTGTAGTGCTAGGGTATGCATCACAGACATTATGGCTCATGCAAAACGTGCATGACAAGTGTCAGAATCTTCCAGGCCCAGACATTTTTACAGTTGATAGCAACAGCTCGTGCACCAGACTGGTGTTCCTCCGCTGGCTGAGCGCTTGGCACGCAAAATGTTGCGAGAAGTAGCGCAGGTAGAGCGGAAAGGTGTTTTTTCGCTGCTGCAGAATCTTGGTCGAATGTTTTCCGCCGATGATCGCAGACTTGGGGTCCGTGGTGCCTTGCATCATCGCAAGGTCGACGTCCGGAAGTAAATGCTTCTCGAGATGATCATACTCCTGCTGCGCCGTGGCCTTTTCATCGGCGTTCGATGTCGCGGCAGGTGGAATTTTCCCATTTTCGATCAATTCCTTCATCCCGAGGAGGGGAAATCCTGGCCGCCCCCGGTAGTGGCAGAAAGCCTGCTCGCGAAAGAGCGTCGGCAGCAGGTGCCTGTAGTGTTTCACGTCGGAGAGCTGCACGGTTGCCTCCGAGCTGCCAGTCCGCGCTAGAGACGCTTTTTCTGCAGAGACGACGTTCTCCGTCGTCTTATCAAAAAACTCGGACACCAAAGCAGGGTCGGCTAGGGCCTTGTTTTTCGACGATTTCATGTTCAGGGTCGTCCCAACAGGATACACATCGCCTTTCTGGGGAAGCACGACCAGGACGAGGCGGTAGTTCCACTCTTCAAGCACTGACGAATCATCAGCAGAAACTCCGGCGGGCCCAAGCTCGAAGAGCTTCGCAAGCGGGCCGGATGTATGCATTGCAAACGTGAATGTAATGTCTGATTCTGGAAAAGGGAACAGTAATGCTTTCTGTGACTGTCTCGCACATTCCAGTTCTGGAGAACCTTCTGTGTCGCATCATGCGCAGCGCATGCGCAGCTTCCTCTATGTTTATCGTGCAAAAACGCAGCTTATACTGCGTGGGCGTGCTAGGCTGCAGAAATTGTTGCGAAAATTTGTTATACTTTGCTGCACCTAGAACTCGTGCGGCCAACTAACACCGCCAATCGATCCAGCATATACAAGTTTCCAGCTTTACACATATTTGCGGTTGATATGGTATGGCTTGGAGCGGGACCCCATCGACGGCGGAGAAAGCAGGCGCACTGTTCCTCGACGCCTTGCTCTGCTGTTTATGCAATACAAATTTTTACCGTTCCACACGCAATGAGTGCATAGGTAGTACAAACTTTGCCAGAGCCAGCCTCAAGCAATGCAGGGATTACGTAATGCTAAATATGGTTGCGGAAAAATTTTGTCATGCAGTGACTGTCTATTTCATATTTGCGTGTAAGTAGTAAAAAATTCCCTCCCGAGGATATTCCGCCAAGCGCAAGTTCTGTTTCATTTTGGTTCGGTTGTTTTTTTGCATCCGTGTCATGCGACTGAGGTAGGGAAATCCGCCTTGTCGCGCGCCCGGGGTGTGCTTAGCCGGCATGAGCGGCAGCAAGATTTTGCCGGCGTCTCGCAGCGGCGGTAGAGCGTCGAGTTCTCCTTGTGGGAGATTGCTCGGTCCGGGCGTGCGAGCAGTTGTGCCGCCTTTTATACCTGCATTGCCTGTCACAGAGTTCATTTTTCCAGCTACACCACCCCTGCCGCCCTGCAGCTGGAGTTGCCGCTTCGTCAGCAGCGCTACTTTGCGCACGCCCGCGAGTTGTGTCGACCTCTGACCCGCGGTAGCGCCGGCGGCAGACCCCTTGATGGTCGTGATGGCGGTTTTTCCTCCTGCGTTTTTGCCAAGAAGAACGCCTCCAGGCGTGTTATTGATACCTCCACCGCTCTTCACGCCTGCGACAATTCCCTTGCCACCGACAGCACTCGCCGTTATTTTTCCACCTGTTGCAACGGGGAGGCTATTCGCTCTCGGTCTGGTGCCTCCCAAAAATGTTGGCGCCGTCATGGTCTTCAAAGGTCGCGCTGCAACTGTGCCGGCAGTAACAGAGCCTTTGTTCTGCACAGTCACTGTTGAAGCCGCTACTTTCCCTTCCGATCCTTTCAGACCTTTCTTCGCAGCAGGGTCAAGGAGGTTGTACCTCACTGGCGGCCTGGCCTTGAACAAGGAGCGCGCGAGGACGCCGGCTGTGTTCGCTGCTGTAGCTGTGCCTGTACTCGTTCCGGCGTTGGTCGCATCGTCCGTCCCCGTAGCCGGCGGCGCATCAATCTGGGTCTCCGTCGTCGCACTTGCTTGGCTGCTGGCGGCACTCGTCGTTATTGCAGCCTTATCATCCACTTCCGCTGTGCCTGCGGCCAACGTCGTCTTTTCCGCCATGTCTTCATCGCCAGCGAGAGAGCCGGCGGTGGTCTCAGCAGCACTCAATACTACGGACGTCATTTCTTCTGTGCCTAGTGCAGCAACCACTCCTTTGGTTTCTTCTGCGCTAGAAGCCGACAGCAGAGACATGGCATTTGGTGGAGCAACAGCGTTCGACTTCTTGTTTTCGATTGCAACTGAAGTAGATGGAGCTTCTACAGAATAAACGGGGGTCGTGTCCGTTCCCGTGGCACTTGGGCTTTTGATGTTCACGTGCTTCTCATCTTCCACCACATCTTCAACAGTACTCGCGTCTTTCACGTCTTCACCTGCATGATTTTCATCTCCTTCGACGTCCGTGCCCGGGATTTTCCGCAGCTCCCCGGCTGGCCGCGAGAGAGCTGGATCAGTGCCCGTGGGCTCATTTTCATCAGCAAGAGCAGCCTCGTCGTCTGGGCCGTCGGTGTCCTTGAGCAGCACAGCCCTTGCTTGCGCCGATAGTGGGTGTTTCTTCTATGCATTGCAAAATTCTGATCGGCATTGGACTCGTCACTGGAGGTGGAGACGTGTCTTGACAAAACGCATATATAAAGCGAGATCTGTGGTCGTGATGCTGAGTGACTCACTAAGCCAGCCCTGTCATGCATAAATTGAAAAGACGCCTGGTAGTTCAAATTCATCTAGTCCGAGGAAGCGCAGTACTTCTTTTGCATTGGATATCTTCCATCCTGTGCAGAACTTTCGTACTCGTAGTAATTGCGTTTATGCATTTACAAATCTCTTTCTCAAGGTAAGTCAGCATCACTACAAATTGAATTTGTGATGCTGGGCTAATTTGTTGTAATGCAATTTTTACTAGGCCGATACTTTTGCATCGGATATCTTCTCCACTTCAACCATTTGCTCCAGGTCGTCGCCTATCAAATGCAAATCTATCTGGGTCTGGAAACTTGTGATGCTGAATGGTCATGCTTGAGCACGCCTTGAAACGCAGTGACGCATCACAAATTTTTCAAACGCTTCTTTATGCGCAGAGCGCTTTACAAACTACGATTTTAATTTTGCATGGCGCCGAATGAAGTGTGGTGCCTTTGCTGCGTATGCTACACAGATTTTTCAAGATTACGAGACCCGCAATACAGATTCAACCCTCTCAGACCCTGACATATTTGCATTTGATATCGCCGAGACGCCACGGCAGTCGGAACTCTGCATTTACATTCTGCGACGTCCCAAAGAGCTTCTTCATTCGGTCAGCCTTTCTCTTCAGCTGCCTTCGGCTGTCTATTTCTTTTTTCTTCGCTTTATCTCCTTCCGTATTTCTCAGCAGATCCAACGCCTGCACGGTTTTTCGGTGTTTCAAATCGATTAGCCTCATGCTCTCGCGGGGAATCGAGAGCGCTACTGCTAATACGGAGAGCAACATGTCTCCCGTGATCGGTAGCTTATTATTTTTCGTTTTTTCATTTATCACGCCCGGCGCGCGCATTCTCTGGCGGTAAAAATTTCGGACGCAGTCCAGAGGTAACGCCAGTAGCTTCTTCGTCGCCTGTGGTTCTGAGCTGGGCCCGACGGTTCCGGACTCCCACAGATACAAGCAGTTCTGCAGGGCGGGGTCTTCGTCGTGTAGTTGCGCGAGCTGTCGTGGTGCGGGAGATAGCTTTGATGCTGCTTCATCCACTAGAACGGATACTTGGTCAGCACGCGGATCAAGGGAACCATCAAAAGCTGCACTCTCAACTACGTGGTCCTTGCGCGACCCTGCAGTATCAGCAATAGCACCGCCCGTCTTGTCTTCCCCTTCAGGTTGAAAAAGAATTTTGTGGTCGTGCATGTCGCAAACTTCGGCGAAGTCCATCCTCATGCCGAAGACGCCGGCGTTGCTCCGATGCTTCGGGTCGAGCAGGTAACTTAGCGAGGATACGGAAACCGGAAGATCTTCTACTTCGTGGTCCTTCTTCTGCTTGTCCATGTTCATAATTTCCCCGGGCAGCTGCACGAGATAATCTGGAGCAGATTTTTTTTTATCCCGCTCAGCAGCATTTGCATTTTTGACATCTGCTTCTGCTTCAACTGCCTTCGTTACACCGTCCGCTGGCCCTTTTACCGTCGACCATATGACATCCGGGCGGAGTTTTCGGATCAGAGACTCGGCGATGTCACTTGCTGCTGAAGATGTTATGCTTGATAGGCCTGGCACGACAGCTGGAGTCGCATCTACAGCTGCCTCACTACTATAGAGCTCCTCTGTTTGACCTTCTTGTCCTTTAGCAGATAGACAACTCCCACTTTTCATCCCCTTCGCGGAGAAGTGTTCCTGGGCTTCCACAACGATTTTGCTCGCTTGATACACCTGCTCATAAAAAAAATCCTCGTAAACCGCGGAGAGGTTGATAATGTTCCCCCGCGCTGCAAACTCCTTTTCCGTGCCGAGGCACTTCTCTTGCAGCATTTTGCGCGCCTTGTTGGTGAGGTGTTGACACAGCACAACATCGGGTCGCATGTTTTCTGGCGGTGGTGGTGGTGGTGGTGGTATTCCAGACAGCACAGGAGGAGCTGCGATTTCATCAGGTCCGCGCGGGGACGATGATCGTGCTGGCCCGGGACCGCTCTGTACCGCGTTGTTGACATCCACTTCGATAGTACCAGCAGCCCCTGTTGGCAGCTGCTGCGAGGGACTAGACACAGTACCAGCCGCCGCTCCATCTAGAAGAATGGCCTTTATACTATCATCCACCGACGTGCTGGCAGCTGTAGTAATTCCGACTGCAGGCCCCAGAAGTCCCTTCACCGCCCCTGCTAACCGCTGCAGCGTATCAGCGAGGCGCTCTACCGTCCACAGGTAAAACGGGGTGGGGGTGCAACAGCAAGTGGTGACGTTTCTACGCTCTTTCCAGCGAGAATTCATTCGCAATCCAACAGTCTCGGAGAGTGGAACAGCAAGCTTGCGACATTGCTCGAAGTAGTACCACTGCTTTTGCCAGGGAAATTTTAGGAGATTTCCCAGCGTCGCTTTCCACTGCGCCTCCTTCGGTTTCTTGTACCCGTCAATGCGGCTTAACGCGTAGTCCAACCGGGCTTCGCTCCACACGAACAGCGGGTCTATTTCATACGGCTTATTATCGCAAGAAAAAACTGTTTCAGTGTGAATCTGTGATGCAGAGAACGAAACACCAAAGCGTTTGTCTTGCTACACCTGCAACACAACGGATTTTTGGGCGTGTTTTCGCCTGGAAAACGCGCAAGACAAATTTTCTGTGTCATGTGTAGCAAACTTGTGATGCAGATCTTGCAAAACCATCACAGTGAAACAGTTTTTTCGTGGGATACTCATCTGCTTCGTGGTGGTAGTTGGGATGATTCTTACCCTTGTCAGGATTAGAAGACCACTCGGAATCCTTTTTTTCGATCGTTCTCTTCCCTAGTGCGGCGAGAGCGGAGGGATTCTGTTCCACAAGGACAAGGTCCCGCTGAGGAGCACTTTTTGATATTCCAAGTGGCTGCGCTGCCGTTCCTGTCGGGCCGGGAACAACTGCATCTAGCTGCTGACCAGCAGCAGTGGTAGACTGTGCAATTTCATTCCCCACGACCTGATGTGGCGCCACGACGCCATCAATAGCGGAGCTTTTTTTCCCCTGCTCCACCGCGTCTGCCCTCGAAAGAGATGCTTCTGTCGCTGACAGCAAGGCGTTGAGCTTTTTCCGTCGGTTAAGCTGTTCCTTCCGTACCGCGAGAGTTTGCCCCTCGTCAAGGCCGTAGCGGAAGCTCCAGTTTTTGAATACGATGCCGGCGAGGGGGAGCGGGTACTGGAGTAAAAAGTGATGGATGTCGTGCTCCGCTAGGGTGGCATTGTTCCCAACTACCGGAAAGGGAAACGCGAGATGCGAGTCCGCGTTGAATACCTGCGCTTTGTTGATCGGGAGAGCTGCAGTAACGGGGGGGCGTGTGGTAGTATTGTTCCCTAGTACTGGCGTTGCGCCACTAGTCAGAGCTTTATTTGCCTGGACAGCTGTAACGACGTCATTTCGATTTGGTCGGTCGCTTGGAGCAGCTGTATTTGCATCTCCGACGGCGGCAGCAGAAGTCGTTGACGCCACACCAGCAATAGGGCTGCTTGCTGCCTGCTTCAGCTGTGCTTGTTCCAAAACTACCTGCTTATGATTTGCAAAAGTATCGTACTAGTTGTATAAATCGCAACGCAAATTTTTCCAGAACGGAAAATGGAATTTGTAATGCTGATTTCGCTAAGAAACAAGATTTGTCATGCATAAATGCAATTACTACGAGTACGATAGTTTTGCACAGGATACTGTTTCGCGGCGAGTAACGCGGTAGATTTCTTCACCACCGCGAGCATCGCCAGGCACGCTGTGCGCCGTATCAAATAGAAATATGTCTGGGTCTGGATGGATGCAAGGTTTGTCATGCACATTTTACATGACTCCTGGTGTCTGTTATGCATGCCCCAGCATCACAGATTTTATGAGGCCTTCTAGATGCCTATACCGCATCAGAAATGCCCTCTCGCCATGGCAAAAACTGGACCTTTTGCTGTTCATGCAATACAGATTTATTCGTAGAATCCAAATCCAGCATCACAAGCTGCATCCTTCCAGACCCAGACATATTTGCATTCGATACGCCGATCCGGGAAACCAAACTTTTTCGCATCGATGGAATCCTGGGCGAAATAATCCTCTCTGTCGGCCAACCGGATTGAGAAGTCGTAGGCGAGCAGATTCTGTTCTTCGAGTTCGTCAACTACCACGGGATCTGTCGCTAAAGCTCGCTCCTCATGCAATGTTTCGACATGATTTTTGTCTGCAGTTTTGTCGTCATCGTCGCGCCCCTTGCGTGCTTGCTCCTTCGCGTGAGCCTCGTCCATTGAAGATGCCGTATCTGGTGCCAGTGGTGTGTTCGTAGAAGGAGCGCCGGGAATAATTTTGCCGGTGCCAGGATCCTGTTCCCGCTTCTGCTTTTTCCTCTTCGGCTTGAAGAGGGCAGCGTCGGAGGAAATATGTGACCGTGAAAAGATTCATCACTTTCAGACAGTCTTCATACTATATTAGAATTTTCATTTTTTGCACAGCACGCACTACCAACAATGCCAAATTTCGAGAGCGGAACCCTTCAGGGGAGAAATTGTGAGAGGCGAGTGGATTCAAAAATGCGCCCTCTCAAGCTCACGCTCAAAATCTTCTAGTTTGACTTCGTAGTGATTTGCCAGTTCTCCTCGCTTTCATAGCAGCACATCCTCAGCATTTTTTTGCGATTGCGCCGCCGCCTGTGCCTTAGAAGTTGTCAGCCCGTCATTGATTTTCGCCGAGGTGCTCCCGGCTACAGCTGTGCTACCACCGCTGTCCAGGTCATGAGCCAAAAATTGCTGTTTCTGCGAAATGCCCGTCATAACATTTTCTTCGTTTTCATCATTTCCCGCCGTCACAGGAGCAGATCTTTTCCGCTTTTTCACCACTTTCGCTTTTCCTTTCGGAACCGCAGTGGGATTTTTGCCCTCGGGAGGTGGAGGCCCGAGGTCGGCCTCTACTACACGATGATCATCTTCTGCAGAAAGAGGGTTTGCCGCTGCTTCATCTCCCGCGAGCTTTGCACGGTGGTGACCCAGAAATTCTGGGTCGTGTGAAGACAAGAAGTCCTTTTTCACTTTTTCTTTTCTGTCCCCAGTCTCATCGTCCTCTTCTAGCACGTCCAGCCGGAGGCTTTTCGTAGAAGTGCCCGCTGCTGCACCACCTGTCGCAGCGTCGACCTTGCTCGTTTTCATCGGAGGTTGTCCAAGTTCCTGCTCCGCGGCATGATCTACCATATCTGCTTTTCGCCGCTTTGCCGCTTTCGTACCGGTGGTGGAGTTCTTGTAGTTTCCATTTTCAGCAACATCTTCCGCGTCATCATCTGCCAACCCATTTGCGTCGTGGCGCTTCTTCCCACCAGCAGGAGTTGCCTTGGGCTCCTTCGCAGGCTTCGATTTTGCATTCGCGGCAGTTTTCGTCGTGCGGGAGTTCTTGCGCGCAGCGTCTTCGTCGTGTTTGTCGTCGCTCTCTTCATCTTTGTCGCCGGTGTCTTCGGAAGATTTTTTCTGCTTGGGGATGTTGGTGTTCTTTCCATCACCAGGCGTGGACTTTGCAGATCCCACTTTCGAAGAAGTGCCAGCGGTTTCACCATCGCCATCCTTTTTGCCCTTCGTTGCAGCAGCGGCAGAACTAGCTTTTGACGCAGTTACTTTCGTAGAAGTCAAAGTCTTGGATGAAGCCGCAGCTGTCGAGGCAGCGGTTGCGTGTTTCGTGCCTGCCTTTGCAGACCCCTGCTTCGGAACGGTTTTCTTCGAATTTGCACCCACCTTCGACGCAGATACATCTTCCTCTGCTTCGGGACCACCCTGTGCACTTTTGGCATCAGGGGCCTTCTTGCTCTTCTTGTCGTTCACCGGGGCGACGACTTTGCTGCCGCCGGTTGTCGAGCCCTTTTTGCTATGCATTAGAAATGGTCTGTGTCTGGGTCTCGAAACTTGTGATGCGGGCTAGACAATTATGCGGACATCTCAATTGGCGCCCAAGCATGATAAGTTTCTGAGTTGCGGGGTCGTGTTGCCTATTCTTCATAGCAAACTGCGTCTCTGACTGCATGACGAAAAAATAGAGCGCTTGTTGGCTAACATACATGACAAGCTTGAGAGTCGTGTTGGCCGAGCATGACAAGCCTCACAATCTTCCAGACCCAGACATATTTGCATGAGATAGCTGCTGCCATCGGCCTTCGCAGCGGTCCCGGTCGCCGCGGCCTTCGCGGAGCTGGCCTTTTTTGGCGCCATAGTGTCTCGTGCTCCGCAAAATAAACCGTCGCACCGCACCGCTGAAGTAGGCGGTCCTCGCGCGCTACTCCTTCTAGGCCAACAAGATCAACAACGCAAATGGCTTGTTTTGGGAAGGAGCCCGCGCACGAATTTTTATTTTGACGTGCTGGTGCCCGATAGGGGTTTTGGGAATAAAACGGGAGGGTGGAGGACGTGGAGTAGCCATCGGTTATTTTCATTCCACAGGCAAAGAACATGGGTGGGCCGATTAGTACTAAACTAAAACTCGCCTTCGTTGCTCAATCACAAACACAACACTGATCGACTCGGTCTTTTGACTGGTGTCTTTTTTTCTTTCACATTATCTTTTTGGTGCTGTGCTTCTCACTGACAATTTTACGTAGACTGCAGATCTGCAAAAAAGATGATCGCGGGATATGTGTTGTGAATGGGGCCCAGCATGATGATGTCGCTGGTTCTTAATTTCGTCGGCCGGGCGCAAGGGCAAGGCGCGCGCTTCGTTCCTGGTAATATGCAAAGGCGTAGAAAATTGAAGCTGCACGAAGTCAACGCGCACGTCGCGCGTTTTCGTTTCTTGTTCTAGTGAGCCTTCAAGAAGAACAAAACGGAGCAACATCATGCAGCAGGCGCCGAGATTTCTTGGATCTGGATCTGGACTCCCATCAAAACGCATGAAATAATAGACGCGACAAATTCAAAACAACAGCGCCGCAGCCGCTTTCCGTTGTAGCGTGTTTTTTTAGCGGACGCATTCTGGCGACCCCCGCGGCGCCGAACGCGCCGCACTTGGGGGGGGTTTGGGGGGGCAACGTGATTAATCTCAATCGGACTGCGTCACTCATTTAAATCGGACGCGGTGCCCCGAGTCCCAGCCGAGTCCCAGCCGAGTCCCAGCCGAGTCCCAACCGAGTCCCAGCCGAGTCCCAGCCGAGTCCCAGCCGAGTCCCAACCGAGTCCCAGCCGAGTCCCAGCCGAGTCCTAGCCGAGTCCTAGCCGACTCCCAGCCGAGTTTTTCAGCCGAGCTTTTCAGCCGAGTTTTTCAGCCAAGTTTTTCCGCCGAGTTTTTCCGCCGAGTTTTTCCGCCGAGTTTTTCCGCCGAGTTTTTCCGCCGAGTTTTTCAGCCGAGTTTTTCGGCCGAGTTTTTCAGCCGAGTTTTTCAGCCGAGTTTTTCAGCCGAGTCCCAGGCGAGTGCCACCCGAGCAAACCCCGAGCAAATGAATTTGCTCGAGAACTCTGTCGCTTTTCCAACTTCGAGCTATGTGGCTGAAAACTGAAGACGCGACATTGTCTGCAGTGTCGTGCGAGTTGTATATTACAGGTCTTCTGGTTCTTCGCGTTCTACTACCTGCAAAATTGCGTGCCTACTATGACACCGCTGCTGAAATGAAATTTATGCTGTATGAGCAGCAAACGCCAAGCAATTCTCGATACGCGGCAGATCTTCAAGAAAAAGGCATACTTAGAGTAGAAACAACATTTTGATGAAAAGGGTTTGCGGTTTTGTCAGACAAAAGATTGCAACTTGCTCTACAGCATGAGCTTCGGCACCTACTCAGACATCAGTGTGGTTTTGCAATGGAAATTTTTGATTTTGAACTGAGCAAAACCCTGATAAACAACAGGACGCACTGAGATAAGCTGCTAGTTTGATTACAGTGACACTCTTGTGAAAAATTTTGAAAATAATGTTTTTTCCGTTCGACGTCCTTGTTCCGCTTGTCCAAGGGGGGTTCGCGATTACTGGAAGAACTGTTCGAAGAGGACGAGGAGCTACTAGATGATCCGGCGGCAGAAGATTCGCCCCCGACTGGGAATAAATTACCACCGGACTTGCTGGTATTCGTGTTCTATCAAATGCAAAAATGTCTGGGTCTGGAAGATTCTGAGACTTGTCATGAACGGTTTGCATGAGCCATGATGTCTGTGATGCCTGCCCTAGCATCACAATCTTTTTCAGGGATTCTTGATGCCTATTCCGCATGACAAATGCCCTCTCCGCGTACCAACAATTAGACTCCTTTTGCTGCTCACGCAACACAAATTTCTTAGACATCCAAATGCAGCATCACAAGTTGCATTCTTCCAGACCCAGACATTTTTACATTTGATATGTTCTGTTTCGTCCGCCGGGTATCGTCGGAAGTGTGGGTGTATCCACAGAAAAAAACCCATCCGTATCCAATTTGTCATGCAGAACACGTATCAAATCATGTGTTTGTCATGTTGGAAGGCTAAGGGCAGGGCGTCCCATTCGTTTATAAACTTAAAATGGATGTGTTTGTCATGCAAAAAATGGATGTGGATGGGTTTTTTTCTGTGGATAGGGTGTTGGCCGCGCTTGCGACGGATGTTGAAGGACCCACGTCGGAGGTGTCGTTACCTCTAGCAGGTCTGGAACTACTAGAAGCTGCGCCAGAGAGGTCGTTGTGGCCTTCCCTTTCTTGATTCCGGTTTTGCTCGTCTGCGGAAAGAAGCGGCACGGTTTTGTAGTCACGGTTCCCCGGGTTCAGGTCTTCCGGCAACATCTTCTTGAAGCGATCGTGGACGAGGCGTCCGGGTTCGTGGTCTTCATGCAAGACAAATTATAGAAGTGCTGGTAGAGGTAGCCACGACGAGTCGAAAAAATTAGGTGCGTACGAATGAAACGGCGCGATGCAAGCAAGCGTAGTTATTTTGATACTTAAACTTGAACTGGCACTACTACTTCTGACACGAGAACTACACAAGTAGGAACTACAGAACAAGATTGGTACGGCTGGCGGTTCTGTTCTGCCAGTAGCACCACAACAACTCTGGTGGTAGCTGCAATAGGCACAGCCGGGCAAGTTAGAAGAAAGCACACACACACACACACACACACACACACACACACACACACACACACACCGCTCAAAACGCATCATCGTTCTCCTTGGTATCCTCTTTGTCTTTTAGTACAGTGGCAGTGTCCTACCATCTGCCATTTTATCAACACCGCAGTTCTTCGGACGTAGTGTACGACACACGAGGACAACGAACAGCCAGATATCGCGCAAGCTAAGAGTAAGAAGAAGAACAACATCAGAACATAACGATGAACACGACGCATTCATCTCCACGCTCAGCATACTTGTTCAGCAGGCGCCTGTGATGAAGTAGGTGTCAACAAGCCATTTTCAACAGTAGCGACTCGTCCTACCTCGTAGGTTTTCTCACGACCACGACGTGGAGCAGCTTATTGCTGAAACTAAAAGAGATTCTGACGCTCGGTTGTTTGCCTGCAGCTCACTATCACTATCTGCTCAGCATCTTTATCTTTTTCAATTTTCTCATCAACATCATAGAAAAAACCCGCTGAAGTAGTTTCGCACCAGATTGGTCGGTGCAATGTGTGGTTCACCGAGTCGCAAATGGAAGAGCTGACAAGCTTCCAAATCCTCCGCGTTTCCACCGTCTTCTTTCACCGCGTTTGTTCCTCCTGTACCCGGCACATTGGCATCGGCGCCGCCTCCTTTCACAGGAGCTGCTGGCTCTACGCTGTCCCGGCCAAACCAGTACTGGCACCTCCCGAGAAATTCGTCGTTATTCCGGCCCGCCATTCGCAAGGGCTTGCTGTTATGCAATACAAATTTCCCGTACGCATCGAGGTCGACGTTGACAAAAATGCATGACAAACTTCCCACCTTAGGGCTGTGTGCCACCACTTGCCATGCTGAATAGGATTGTCATCACGCAGAAACAGCATTTCTTTCTCCGAAGGCGTACGGGAAATTTAAGTAATGTGGATAGCCGTTGCTCGGAATCTTGAAGACCCGAAAGTACTTGTAATGGCCCGCTTTGGTACTTTTTCCGAAAATATCGAAGGAGGGTATGAGATACAAAATTTTGTTGAATCAAGAAGGTCAAGCATTACAACCGAAGCAGGTAAGGCTACACTACGCGAGTGTAGTGGGTGCAGGCACATCACATAAGATGAATAACGCGGCGTCGTAGGTGTTTCTATTTCTTGTAGAACTTCTATTAGGTTGTAGCGCCACATCAAACTAGAAACTACATTCACATTCTGAAACCAGTACTATCCACCTCTTTTCCTTTCGACGTCCTTGTTCCGCTTGTCCACCTCTGAAGAAGCAACAACGACGCGCTTAAAAATGTAGGCACTTAGGGGTGTTTTGTTGTAGGCACTTAGCATGACGGAGGCTCTCCATGTAAGTGAAACAGCATTACAAATCGCATCCATAAGGCGGCGAATTCTTTGGACTTGCCTTCTTGCAAGAGAGACAGGATTTGTGCTCACAAATCAGCATCACAAATTTTTAGGAACATACGTTTTCACTATTGGGAGGAGGGATTTTTCCTCACGGTAACTTTCTCGACGACCTTAGGAACTGGATTTGTTGTAGTGGCCCCAGAAATATGGATTGCAAATATAGCTGGGTCTGGAAACTTGTGATGCTAAAATGTGCATGATGGAAACACTTCCGAATGCAGACCAGCATGACAACTTTCATCCGGAGCACTTTCTCATAGGCAGCCCACACGAGAAACTGCGTTTTTGCATGACAAAAATGGGTGCGGCTTTATTTGTCGGTTATGCAATACAGATTTCATCCCAGGAATGTAAAGCTAGCATTACAAGTTCCAACTTTCCAGACCCAGACATATTTGCAGTGCATACGAAAGTGGTTGTAGACTCCTCCTTCGCGTGGAGGTCGATACTTGTTGCTTCGATTTCAGCTGCTGCGCGACCTCTCGGAGCTTCTCGGTGCTCGGTATCGTGAGAAAAAACTGTTTCACTGTGAACTTGTGATGCAGAAAATGGAACACAGAACTCTCTGGCTTGCTACACCAGCAAGGCATTGGATTTGCAAGCGTGTTTTCCCTTGGGAAGCGCGCATCACAAATTTTCAGTCATGTGTAGCAAACTTGTGATGCAGATCTTGCAAAGTCATCACAGTGAAACACTTTTTTCGTACGATACTCGGAAGCAAGAAGCCAATATTATTCTTGCCGTTTTCGTTCTATCAAATGTAAAAATGTCTGGGTTTGGAAGAATGCAACTTGTAATGCGTATTTCAGAACACAGAAAAGTCTCTCATGCATACGTAGCAAAAGCTCCCACTTTTTGCCACCAAAATAGGGGACTTGTCATGCGGATTCGGCATTGCGGAAGGTTCTCAAAACCTGTGATGCTAGAGCTTCCATGCCAGACCTTCTGTGTCATGCAAAAACAGCATGACTCTTCCAGACCCAGACATTTTTACATTTGATACGTTCGTGGGTGAAACCATGTGCTGGTGGTCTTGGAGCGCTTTCTATCGAATGCAAAAATGTCTGGGGCTGGAAGTTTGCCAGGTTTGTCATGCATATTTTGAATGACCCATGATGTCTGTGATGCATGCCGTAGCATCACAGATTGTTAGAGGACTTTGTGATGCCTCTAGCACATGAGAAATAATGCTCTCTCCACGTAGCACACACTGGAGTCCTTATTTTGCTGGTCATGCAATACAAATTTTTCTAGAATCCAGAGACAGCATTACAAGTTTAGAATCTTCCAGACCCAGACATTTTTACATTTGATACTTTCGCCAGGACGCTGGTGTCTTCGTCCCCTCCGCCTGGGGCCGGAACCACGAAGAACAGCGCTTTCAGGATATTACAATGAAAAATGCCCCCACCCCCGAACCAACTTGGGAGCATTTGTATTGCAGACCTTTCCAAGTGAAACATTCGCCCTCTTGCATCTATCAGCATCACAGAATTCCAATCTTAAATAGCAAAAATCTGTACTGCAAAAGATCCCAGCAAGAGCGGCCCTTGTCATGCAAGCTGTGCAGTTGCAAGCGATGCGACACACGTCTGACTCTGCATCAGAAAGATTCGTACTCCTTTCATGCATGCGCATGCATGACAAAAAGTTTTCATTTGGAAACTTCACATCACAAATTTTTGCAACCTTGGGAGTGGGGGCATTTTTCACGGTAATACAGGACCAGGGCGCTGGCGAAGGCGTTGAACAGCCCGCCCATCTGGTCCTATGCATTGCAAATAGGTCTGGGGCTGGAAGGATGCAAGTTGTCATGCTAAATCCGCATCACGCAAGAATCTGTGTTGCATGAGTGCCGAAGGCTCTTCTACTTTTGGCCAAGGTGACAGGGAGTTTCCCATGTAAAATAGGCATGACAGAGACCTCACAGTAGACTCTGTCATGCTAGGTCCCGCATAATTCCAGACCTCAGGGGTCAACATGGAAAGGCTGCATGACAAGTCTACACTCTTCCAGACATCCAGGGATATTTGCATTTGATAGGTCCCCAGCGCCGCCAAATCCGTTGCGATGCCGCCTATGTTTTTTCCGTTCGACGTCCTTGTTCCGCTTGTCCACCTCTGAAGAAGCAGCATCATCGTTCTCCTTGGTATCCTCTTTGTCTTTTAGTACAGTGGCAGTGTCCTACCATCTGCCATTTTATCAACACCGCAGTTCTTCGGACGTAGTGTACGACACACGAGGACAACGAACAGCCAGATATCGCGCAAGCTAAGAGTAAGAAGAAGAACAACATCAGAACATAACGATGAACACGACGCATTCATCTCCACGCTCAGCATACTTGTTCAGCAGGCGCCTGTGATGAAGTAGGTGTCAACAAGCCATTTTCAACAGTAGCGACTCGTCCTACCTCGTAGGTTTTCTCACGACCACGACGTGGAGCAGCTTATTGCTGAAACTAAAAGAGATTCTGACGCTCGGTTGTTTGCCTGCAGCTCACTATCACTATCTGCTCAGCATCTTTATCTTTTTCAATTTTCTCATCAACATCATAGAAAAAACCCGCTGAAGTAGTTTCGCACCAGATTGGTCGGTGCAATGTGTGGTTCACCGAGTCGCAAATGGAAGAGCTGACAAGCTTCCAAATCCTCCGCGTTTCCACCGTCTTCTTTCACCGCGTTTGTTCCTCCTGTACCCGGCACATTGGCATCGGCGCCGCCTCCTTTCACAGGAGCTGCTGGCTCTACGCTGTCCCGGCCAAACCAGTACTGGCACCTCCCGAGAAATTCGTCGTTATTCCGGCCCGCCATTCGCAAGGGCTTGCTGTTATGCAATACAAATTTCCCGTACGCATCGAGGTCGACGTTGACAAAAATGCATGACAAACTTCCCACCTTAGGGCTGTGTGCCACCACTTGCCATGCTGAATAGGATTGTCATCACGCAGAAACAGCATTTCTTTCTCCGAAGGCGTACGGGAAATTTAAGTAATGTGGATAGCCGTTGCTCGGAATCTTGAAGACCCGAAAGTACTTGTAATGGCCCGCTTTGGTACTTTTTCCGAAAATATCGAAGGAGGGTATGAGATACAAAATTTTGTTGAATCAAGAAGGTCAAGCATTACAACCGAAGCAGGTAAGGCTACACTACGCGAGTGTAGTGGGTGCAGGCACATCACATAAGATGAATAACGCGGCGTCGTAGGTGTTTCTATTTCTTGTAGAACTTCTATTAGGTTGTAGCGCCACATCAAACTAGAAACTACATTCACATTCTGAAACCAGTACTATCCACCTCTTTTCCTTTCGACGTCCTTGTTCCGCTTGTCCACCTCTGAAGAAGCAACAACGACGCGCTTAAAAATGTAGGCACTTAGGGGTGTTTTGTTGTAGGCACTTAGCATGACGGAGGCTCTCCATGTAAGTGAAACAGCATTACAAATCGCATCCATAAGGCGGCGAATTCTTTGGACTTGCCTTCTTGCAAGAGAGACAGGATTTGTGCTCACAAATCAGCATCACAAATTTTTAGGAACATACGTTTTCACTATTGGGAGGAGGGATTTTTCCTCACGGTAACTTTCTCGACGACCTTAGGAACTGGATTTGTTGTAGTGGCCCCAGAAATATGGATTGCAAATATAGCTGGGTCTGGAAACTTGTGATGCTAAAATGTGCATGATGGAAACACTTCCGAATGCAGACCAGCATGACAACTTTCATCCGGAGCACTTTCTCATAGGCAGCCCACACGAGAAACTGCGTTTTTGCATGACAAAAATGGGTGCGGCTTTATTTGTCGGTTATGCAATACAGATTTCATCCCAGGAATGTAAAGCTAGCATTACAAGTTCCAACTTTCCAGACCCAGACATATTTGCAGTGCATACGAAAGTGGTTGTAGACTCCTCCTTCGCGTGGAGGTCGATACTTGTTGCTTCGATTTCAGCTGCTGCGCGACCTCTCGGAGCTTCTCGGTGCTCGGTATCGTGAGAAAAAACTGTTTCACTGTGAACTTGTGATGCAGAAAATGGAACACAGAACTCTCTGGCTTGCTACACCAGCAAGGCATTGGATTTGCAAGCGTGTTTTCCCTTGGGAAGCGCGCATCACAAATTTTCAGTCATGTGTAGCAAACTTGTGATGCAGATCTTGCAAAGTCATCACAGTGAAACACTTTTTTCGTACGATACTCGGAAGCAAGAAGCCAATATTATTCTTGCCGTTTTCGTTCTATCAAATGTAAAAATGTCTGGGTTTGGAAGAATGCAACTTGTAATGCGTATTTCAGAACACAGAAAAGTCTCTCATGCATACGTAGCAAAAGCTCCCACTTTTTGCCACCAAAATAGGGGACTTGTCATGCGGATTCGGCATTGCGGAAGGTTCTCAAAACCTGTGATGCTAGAGCTTCCATGCCAGACCTTCTGTGTCATGCAAAAACAGCATGACTCTTCCAGACCCAGACATTTTTACATTTGATACGTTCGTGGGTGAAACCATGTGCTGGTGGTCTTGGAGCGCTTTCTATCGAATGCAAAAATGTCTGGGGCTGGAAGTTTGCCAGGTTTGTCATGCATATTTTGAATGACCCATGATGTCTGTGATGCATGCCGTAGCATCACAGATTGTTAGAGGACTTTGTGATGCCTCTAGCACATGAGAAATAATGCTCTCTCCACGTAGCACACACTGGAGTCCTTATTTTGCTGGTCATGCAATACAAATTTTTCTAGAATCCAGAGACAGCATTACAAGTTTAGAATCTTCCAGACCCAGACATTTTTACATTTGATACTTTCGCCAGGACGCTGGTGTCTTCGTCCCCTCCGCCTGGGGCCGGAACCACGAAGAACAGCGCTTTCAGGATATTACAATGAAAAATGCCCAGATTCGTGTCTGTCGTCGGACCCGCAGGAGCTGCAGCAGCATCTTCACTTTTCGCTGCAGGAGGTGGTGGCACCGAGACCAAGAGCTCGACCACTATCGCGCGGAAAAATCACCCCTCCCCACAGCAGAACAAAACTTCTGATGCTGGATCTGCGTACACAAATCAGATCTGTTTCGCAGTAGAGGACTGCAGGCATATCCTAAGCCTCAGCGCAGAGGTTTTGACATAGGCGCCCAGCATGACAAAAGTCGACGCTGTAGGGCCAACAGCATCACAAACCGCCGGCGTAATGCGGCGGAGCATGTGGACTTGCCTTCTTGCAAGACAGAGTTGATTTCTGGTCACAAATCAGCATTGCAAATTTTCTGAGGCGTACCTTTTCGATATGAGGAGGAAGGATTTTTCCTCACCATAACCACTTCGTAGTCTTTCCACTGCTTCTCCGCCTCTTGTCGCATAGTAGCAGCCTCCATTCCGCGCGTCGGTGGCTGTTGTGCTGTGCTGCCACCTCCGATTGCCTGCACCAGCGGGGCGCCACTTCTGATATTCGCAGCAGCAGGCTCTTCGAACCCGGAACGGAATGCAAAGCGCTCGACGGACGTATTGGACACCATCGACGGACGTATTGGAATAATGTTTTTTCCTTTCGTCCTTGTTCCGCTTGTCCACCTCTGAAGAAGCAACAACGACGCGCGTCGTTAGTAAAATTTACGATAAGCATGCAGGAATTTTCATCGGTTTATCGATAGACACAAACATGGGGATCAAAAGTCAGCTGCAGGAGAAATTCGTTTTTGATAAAGATACTTCCGACTGGTTCCGTGCGGAGGAGTTCGTAGCTGTATGGCTTTTCGTGCGCCAAGCTGCAGTGCGCCAGGTTCGTTCTTGTAATATCTAATCACAGCTGCATAAACGTTCACGTGCTTATAACCAAAGGTAGTACAACTACAGCGGTTCATAAAGTACGACTAGCCGCATGCAATGACAACAAAGACTACATCACAGCTCCTGGAGCACGCTTATTAATTTTTTCTCAGTAATTGTAACTCGACCTCCTTTAAGATGATAGGCAGATGCAGGATGTGCATACTGTTGCTGTTCGGTCTGATGGATGGCTATGCTTCATCGGAGTCATGCACCAGGTTCGCAAAAAATAAGAAATAGAAAAAACATTGCCACGCTATTTCACCTGTGCAGGCAGCGACGATACGGCTCAGACACGGTAGCGACTTGATAATGATAGCTCTAGTAGTGGATGAGCGATAAAGCTGTAAGTTTACACGCGGCGTTGCATCCTACAGAGAAGCATACCCAATTCGGCGAAAAAGAGTTTGGGTCTCTCGCCGGTCCTTCCGCATCATGAAAGACTTACTCACTACTTCTTCTTCTGCTTTTCGAATCATATATTAAAGTGCATAAAATACAAAGCGCAATAAAACGCACAAAAACGCAAAACTCTTGGCCTTCTGGCCTCGGCACTTTTACAGCAGAAATTTGAGCGACGCAATTTTAGCATTCACATTTTTTCTTGTTTGGGTAGGCTTCTCTGTTTGATACATTTTCTCGCGCAACCGGAGAGCCCGCTCCTCTGCAGAACGAGTGGGCCGCTGCGGCCGTTGGCTTAGAGCTTTAACACCCGCTAGCATGAGTAGCGGTGAATCTTTAGTGAATTTTGCATGACAAGTTGCAGAGTAGACTGCAGATGTGTTGTCCCTCTTGGTCTTCTGGGGAGTAGGTTCTGCACGCTGCGCCAGAACGAAGTCGCGTCTCATGCGGCGGCCGGGCAGCTAGAAATAGCCTGGGCGTTGTTCTTTGGGCCATTTTTGCGCCTCCCCGTGCTTGCATCAGAGCACTACAGCAGCCGTGGCAAAGCACGAAAAAGAAAGGCGGCGAAACGCATGCAACTACGCAAAAAGGCCAAGGCGCGAGAGCAAGGGCGAAAGGACCAGGCCGAGAGCTTTGACGCGTCTATCCGGCAGGCGCGTGAACTCTCCAGGCCTACTTTTCGGCAGAATATAGACGGGCTGAGGTCAGCAGAGGGCGCCTGTCTTTTCCCTCCGGCCCCACTTCCCAGGGCTTACCTGTGCACTTTTTTGGGCACTTTTCTGCGCTAAAGTTTGCTTATCACGGTCGAAAAGGGGCGCCCGGTGAATTTTGGGGTGAATTTTGAAAAAGCCGTCGGTGAATTTTGGCCCAAGGTGCCTATTCAAAATTCGCTAACGCACGAGAAACTCCGGGTTTTGGGGCTTCAAAAAAGTGTCGCCAAAACAAAAAGCCCCAAAATTCACCAAGAGAATTCTTGACCTGGGAGCCACGTCGAAAAGGACTTGCTCCGGAGGCAAAAACACACCTGGGGAGTTGTAAGCCGAGCACAGCAGGGGAAGCAAACTAGTGCCCGCGGCCGAGTCGGGCCTTCCCTTCCACCCGAGGCTACTCTCAGATATCCAATTCCAAACCACAACTCGCGAGAGCGTACGCGTTGTACTACTAGTGCTCCTGTGTTCAGGCGTCGCCCTCCCTTTCGACCATTCCGGAGAGGAGCTTCTGAGGTAAACGCGCGATGAACAAGAGCCCCACGATCCACCTTCTTTAGTTACATATGCACTACACGGCCCGGCGGGCCCCGTAAGGCCGCTTCTTTCGGTGGACCCGCTCCAATCGGAGGACCCGCTCCTCTGCAGAACGAGTGGGCCGCTGCGGCCGTTGGCCGTGCATAGTATGGAAAATTCTTGAGCATGCTTACACGACACGGGGACAGAAAGTTGCCGTGTGAGACCCGCCTAGCAGGCTTTCGGTCATAGATATTTTTCGGACAACAGACAGACACTACAAGTCTGCCATCATCTCAAGTCAACAAGAAGAAAATGGACCAGCCACGTTGGGCGCAGTCGCAGTGCATCAAGATTGTTCCATTAGCAAGAATTCTGTATTTATGTATCGTTTCGCGGTCTGGGAGCTAATTTAATCACTTGTCTTTTACAATATTTATTTGGTGCCAACGGAAGCCGTAAAACTAAACATAAACGCCAATACATGTCAGTAGTTGGAGACGTCAGTAATTGAAGAAAAGCAGCGCGTAGCTGACTCGTGTCACTTGCATTGTTTGCTTCGTCTGTAATGCCGCCTACTCGGACGATTGCCCTTGGCCGCCGCCGTCTCCTCCTGGGACTACGTCAGTCTTCACACAGCGAGGCGCGTCGCTCTTGGGCATCTCCACAACTACCTGCGTTTCGGAATTCTTATGCATGTCATCGCCTCCTTAGGGGGAAATATGGTGGGACCACGAACGACATACCCGCGGCGTGCCTACTTATAGCGAATTGCTTTCGCCCAGCCTGCAATGCATAAAAGTGCCCAGAGGCAGGCTACCTAGCTAGAACGGAAAACAGGCGAACGCCCTGCATTCAGTTCGCACCCCCCCGCGCAGGCGTGTTTAGCAGGCACATTCTGACCACCCTGCCAAGCGTTCGGGTTTTCAAGAAAAAGGGCCGCCTGGGGGGGTTTGGGGGGGCTTGAATAAAGCTCAGGAAAATAAAGCAAAAACCACCCCGCTACACAACAAACACGGGGAACCAGCGGGGAACCAGCAGCGGGGAACCAGCAGCGCAGCGGGGAACCAGCAGCGCAGCGGGGAACCAGCAGCGCAGCGGGGAACCAGCAGCGGGGAACCAGCAGCGGGGAACCAGCAGCGGGGAACCAGCAGCGGGGAACCAGCAGCGGGGAACCAGCAGCGGGGAACCA